TTATACTTCAATGGTGTCCCTGGTCTCTGTCCAGTGTAGGTATTGCCTGCAAGGCTTCAACCCAAGTACTCCAGTATGCAGTTACGAGTTGACCAAGCCTACACAAGCACTGCATCAACGCCAGACAATTTAATGTCATCTGTCGCATTTTCACCATGTATTAGAACGTCGGGTATAGTGAGAAACGTGTTGTACTGCTCCAGAACTCTCACCGTTGGCGACTGGGTGATGGCCATGCTTCAATATGCTGGGCATGCCACCTACTCTTACGAACGATCTGCAAGACACAATTGTTTAGTTACTGCTTGAAAGAGATCTGATTGCCATGGAGAACCCATAAGTGAACGCCATTTACGCGCAACGGTAATCCATATCAATAAATGAGCGAGTGTCACTGGTGTCTTGCCATCAAGAAACCGCTCTGTAGGCCATCACCTTTGCGAATGAAGAACTTCCAAGAGATCCTTTGCCGTTCATCCGGAAATCTGAATCTTCCGTGCGACATCGTAACGTTGCTGTACATTTCTAATCAGTCAGTCATGTATAACTGGTTCTCTTGCCCTCCCATCCATCATCCCCCATCATGCAGAGACGTACAGCGCAGTGGCAAGATCATGTTACTTGTATTGTATCGTTCCTCTCAATTCTCTCATTACTAATACCGGAGTTTGCTCGGTCTCCTCTTCAAAATCCTTCTCAGAAGCGACAGTGTTGGGCAGCAGATCACGACATAGAACATGTCACATACCCATCAGAGCTCAACGTCAGCACAAACAACCTATTTTATTACAGAAGCAGTGAAACTCAACCGGTCAAAAGTGTCAATACTGCGAGGCAAATGAATGGAAGGGAGGTTGGAGGTTGCTGTGCATATATACATACACTCATGCCGTGTCACACCAAGGGTGTACACGTCCCTGAAGCTTCCTTCCTACACGAAGCCGATGAACCGCACTGTTACAGGTTTGTTAAGACGAATAGCCACTTTTAGCCTCGTGTCGGTACTACCCAAACCATGCTTTGGCTGACGGGTGACGCTGCGTCGGGTTGGAAGCTGTGTGGACTTCAAGATGGGCAATTCGGATGGTGTATTTCCGGTCGAACCGGTCAACTAATGTGACGTTCGTTTAGCTTATTGAATGGAACATTATCGCGTCGCTGCGGTCAAAATCCGGGGTGCATGAGATGATGATAAAGAAGAAATTTCACCGTTTGGCAGCTGGTGTCATTGGTGTTTCGTCAACGGACGCGTTGGCTTTTGTGGTCACTCAACACCAGCGCATCAGGTTTAGGATACCCTAGACCTGCACACAGCAACGACACGAGCAACGGCAAAGTTCGGTGAATCGCCACTTTACAGTTGTCTATTAGCAACTTGTTATCTATCAGAGTGATATAGCATCCAATTGCTACTCGCGATTTTGCCTTTCTGGAGTCGGTCATATGGCCCGGGCCGTTCAATATGGGTGTGAAGACGAGATCTAGAACTGGTCAGATACACACTTCACAGCACCTCTTAGCGCATCAAACTGCTCACCGGCCGCCAGTCCGACTGTACATCGAATGTTCAGACGGGGCGAGAGGCAAAGCTACGGAAATCTGGGGTACTGAAAGAGTCAATTGTGAGTGATTTGTCATTCTATACTGGCACATAGCATGAGCCGTTGTCGCAATGGTCCCATGGTAGTGTGTGTACATCAGATCTCAGTTGGGGTTACCCTATAACTGGATGAGTGAGGCGGACAACGGCGCGCAACAGAGTTTACAAGGAGATAGATAAGCTCCGCCATCAAGGCAGCACCTCCGAGGGGAACAGTTTATGTGCATCGTATCTGCTCGGTCACGCAATCAATTGACGAAACAAAGTCATTTGACATGCAAGAAATGCACGATACAGCAGCAAGACACAGCGGGAAGTGTCTCAGGGCCTGCATTGCATGTAACTGTACCTACAGTAAAGGAACAATTGAAGACTGCAAAGCAGAGATGCATGGCTGAGGCGGTGAACAAGTTGCTGAAGCATTTAAGAGTTCCCAAGGGGTTACAAAGTGTGTGTAGAGAGAGTCCCCTACAACCGTTGAGATTTGGTGTGTGTGTGTGGCTTGCAGTGGTGGTGGCTCACCTCTCACCCGATGTGACCACCAATACGCTTAGCAAAACTCTCCAGGTTTGTTCCACCTCCGCGTCCAACAATTCTGGGCCTGTGGAGGGGACAACTCTGCGTGAAATATTGAACAATAATGCATCACGAATAGTAACAATTACGTAGGATATGAGCCAAAGCGGGATAAGAATGAGGGATATTGCTGTGCACGGAGACACAGACAGAGATGAGTGCAAGCCACTATAAGCTATTGAGCCGCTGGAAACCTCTTGAGAGTGCTGCAAGTCATGTCGGGCGGCTATTCAATTCCTCTCTGACTCTACATCACCTTCCACCAAGCCAAAATGAAAGAATTAAAACTGCGGCTCATTCACAAGGGCGTTTGCAAAGTGGATTTGTTTGATGACTGGAGCTCCAAGAGGCTCTTGTACGATCACCACGATGGAGATGAGCCCCAGTAGTGCTCGGCCGCCAGACCAGGACAAGGGCTCCCTGCCTAACAGTGTAGGACTAACTAAATGCCCTAACAGACAGTGGACTCCAGCATCAATCATACCTTGTAGAGGGAAAAAGCTTGGCGTGGAATTGGCAAGCAAACTGAAGCAAAAGAAAGAGAAGTAACCGTGCAACCCCAGCAATTTATTATTGGCCCACTTCCCATCTGTATTTTTAAACGATTCACATACTAGACTTCGATGGTAGTGATCATGGTGCCTTTGTAACATACGTCATTAAGCATTCGTTCGTCTCAAGACAAAGAGAAAGGGAACAACTCCCCCGTGGGTAAGAGATTTCAAGGGGAAACCTGGGGGAAAAGGTAAAGCAACAGTCGTTTGGAGAGAGATGGATATGTCGCCAGGAATAGACATACAGACAGACATTAAACGAACCAAGTTTAGATAAAGTCCCTGTGCCTGGACAAGAACAGAGGTAAACTATCCACAACAGAACAAGTTTTGCTGATCAATCGCCCGAGCCTCAAGATGGTGGTGTGCAACCATCTCGAATGAGAAAGAAAAAAATGGGTGGTTCGCCCTGGAGATTGTCTGTAAGTATTGTAACTGTAGTCCTTGGCCAAAAGTACCTTACCCATCCTGTGGAGCATATCTACAGAAAAGCAACACGATAATAGACGAGGTCGCGCAATCTCGACAATCTAATTTACAGTAACTCGCTCTGTATGGTATGCCGGTTTCAACAAAGCCAATGCGGCTTGGCTTCACCGGACGGTTTCTTATCTGACCGACCGCTACAGGGGAGAAAAAGAAGTTGGAGGGCAAAAGGCAAGCAAGGGTAGATCAGCGGGGATATTTAAACCAGTCGAAAGCGATGTACAGACACATTTTCTCTGGTGTTGAGGCGATTACATGTTCGTGGTTGGTAGCCAAGGAGCCAGGATCTTGCCAGGTGTGTGTGGGGGGCATACCGTTGCTTAGCGAGCTAGCGAGCCATGATAACGGGTACGAGAGGGAGGGGAGTGGACAGGGGGAGGAGGGGAGAGGAGAGGAGGAGGAGGAGGAGGAAGAGGGGAAGCAGTGCAGGTAGTTCAATCTGTAGGAAGCTCGCAATGGAGTTTGCATTCTGACAAGATATGATGAGAGGTAGTTAAGATTAATTGGTTAAATTACTGTTGAAGACAGAACAAGAATGCCGTGCAGATTGAACGAGAACCCATTCAGTCAATCAGCCTTGGCAGCTGAAACGACTTTAACAGGTCTAGATTGAATGCTTGCTCTCTTACTCTCAAGTTAGACGACGCCATCCCATGGAGAGCTTCCCCGCACCATGAGTCGATGTCTGGTCTTGGAGTGAGTGTTAAGTCAAGTCGTGACCGTACTTATCATGCAGCAGCGATAAAACCCATGACCCTCGCTAGTAATAATACAGGGAAAAATGCCAATTGCTGGTAGACCGGAGTAAACATTCCCATAGTTCATCACATGAGATTCCAAATCATCCGATAAAGCAGGTTTCTCAGAATTCCCATCACGTGTAGTATCGGGTTCTTGATGTCGGCCGAGAGAGAGACAGAGACAGGCATGTAACTACTTGGGTTACTGTAGCTCTTGTTTTGTCCCGATATGGTTAACACCGGTCTCACGAGTCGTTGATGTTAGTGCAATGTAACGAATGGTTGCTAATCAGATGATGGCTTCAGCTAAAGAGGGGGTTTTACTCTGACGCGGGGTTGGAGAAGTCTCACTTCGTTCACCCGTGCAGCTTCAAGAATCAGGGTGCTTCATCTCGTAGAGTGTCTGTCTGTAGGGTGACTTGCCATCTTCTCAAAAAAGGCATCCGCAAAGAAAGACCCAAACCAGTATCCCTCAATCCACTCATTCCTACTGACACCCATCACCAAAAATTGATGAAACTGAAGCCATAAGCATTCAATGGTAAGCTAGCCCACCCCGGATGGTCTTAGGTACAGTAGCCTCAGTCCGGGGCGGAAGATCCGGGGGCCAATGCGCAAGGCACGCAACGGACTTGGCTCAAGCCGAAACCCATTCTCACGGACACCATCGGCCAGGGCGCGTACATACAATCATGATGATACCATCAATCTCCACAGACAAACGGCGCTCGCACGATATGGATAAGACACGAAGCAGATTGTAGATCACACGAGCTTGAACTACTGTCCCCCGCATTCAATCCCCAGACTTTTGGTGAAATAATGCCGAGTGCATCATGATAAGCAAGCGTCTGTACGAACTGTTGACTTGCAGCAGCTCAAAGAAAGAGCATACGCAATGCAACGCACAGTATCGTCATCATCACCAGTTTCGCTCTACCTAATATCGCCTGCATAACAGTCTGCCGTTTTTTACTGAATGACCTCCCCCTCACGGAGGCGTCCTTCTGGTTGCGGATGTGGCTGCGTATTATGGCGTATGTCTCACTGATACAGCTTCCCACCCATGGTAACGTCGGTGAGGTAGTGCTGTACAGTAAACTCAGTTTGGGTTGGGACTCTTGAATCCGGGGTTCAAATGCATCTTGGTTTGGCCTGCTTTGGTCCCTACAGGATGCGTGCGCGTAAAGGGTCCTTGGCAATCATTTTCACAATCGCCACGAAGGGTCCTGAAGCTCCCCCCCCTTCTTGAGTGTGAGGGTGTCCAAAGCACCAAAAAAGGTACAACTGCGCGAAGATCACGACGCGCCTTTCACCCCCACACACTCACACTTTCATCATAAGATTCTGTGGTATTATCGTTGCGGAGATCATCAACGACGATCAGGGTAGCAGACATGAACTGGACCCTTTTTTTTTGTGTCTTGATGATGATGATCTCCCTTGGACTTACTGTCTGTGTCTCTGTCTTTCGTCTTGTCTTATTTCGCCAAGGGTCTGTGTCTGCGATAAGGCGGTTGTGGCCCCACGAGGCTTGTCTAGAATATGCAAAACACCAAAAGATAATCACGGCCATGATATGAGATCCTTCCTTTCTACCCTGCCTGGCTGCCTGCTACTCGGTATACCCTCTTTGAACCAACCCGAGAAAAGACATCAGATCATCATCTTGGCTTCTTTTAGTTTAAGAGTAAGAAAAGCACAGGGCATAAGGGTCGCTGTAACCGTACCCACAGCTCTGGTGGGATGGAGCATGTTCTGATCTCAAAGGGGTCGGGGATAGTTACATTTTGTCTCTTTAATTCAGGGTTTTCTTGTTATTACTCATTTCTAGCTTGAAAGAGGAATTCGTCCCTTTTTTTTTTTTAGTGTTTGTTGCAGGTGGTATACCCACTCACTCAATCGCCGGGGTCGTTGAGCTGAAGAGGTTGAATGTAACGCCCCCTTTGCCAGTGGCAAATTGCGAGATTACTCACTGAAGAATTTTTAAATATCTCAAAAAGAAAGAGGAAATGATGATCGATCTCGGCTTGAGATTAACTTTCATTACGGAAAGTATTCGGCAATAATTGTTTAGGACCCTTGAATGTAAATAAATGGCTTGGGTGATCAACAACGCCATTGAAGCCATCATGCCTTTGGGGATCATCGAGTCCTTCTCAGTGGATGGTAAGGTTCAACCTCTCAACCTCAAAACAATTAATTCGTCTCAGCCTAGACAGTCTAGCCCGTGCAGATCTTCACTGCGGGTCATGGAAAATACGATTTGGACTCCATTTCAATCTCGGTCTGCGACCGCCCCTCTATTTACTCTCTGTTGAGTTGAGTTGGATTGAGTTGAGAGTCGCCCTGAGCCTCTGAGTTCAATGGTCAATGCCACCCATGTTTTGTCTCGTTTAACGTCTTCCCTGTTCATGAACTGCATGCTTAGCGAGACCTCGAAATACCAATCAAGCCACGAATCCGAAAAAAAGACCAATACTTGTCGAGACGTTGTGCTTGCAGAAAGGGTGTCTGTTTGTATTAATGATAGGTATCTATCAAACCGCAAACGTAACAGTACAGATGCAGGAGATGCTTCATTCATTTTAGCATTCGCGGGGGAAACCATCGTCCATTATTAGTGGAGGTAATCAGCCAAGAGTCTATTACTGAAACCTCCAGATAAGCTGAGGGTCCTCCGTTTTTAGCAACTGCAGTAAACTGTATCGCGCTACTTTCACCGAGGAGGGGCGGCTACCTATCAGCCTTGCTCAAGAAGATGGATGTAGTGTCGATATCGAGTATCCCAATTGCCTCAAAAATTAAAGGGAACAAGACGGGTAGGGAAAATGTTAAAGCGATATCGGAGGTTTATCGTGTCGTCAGTCAACCATGATGAATTGACCAGAGGCTCTGGCGTGAGGGTGTCAGGTTACACAGAGACAATTGCTCTTCTCAGCTAATGAAGCTATCCCAATCCCTGTCACATATGTGCTCTGTACTGTTGCTCTCCCGTGCGTTATCGTACGAGCAGGGGTTCATCGGGTTCTTGCTGGGACTCAATCTCGAACATATCCAATTGCACTACATATTCCTCCCTTTGGTTCGCCATGCCGGGCTTGTTTCTTAAACAGCCACTGTGGGAAAAATAACCCGGCAGTGGCTCATACATGCATATCGCAAAAAAGGGAGAAGGAAACGGTTTTCTTTAGCGCCATCATCAATTGAACTGGGGACTCTTTAACGCTGAATGCGACGTTCCAAATTGGTGTGTGCGCATATGGACCACCAAGCATGGTCTAGACGACGTAATTGAGGCAAAAGTTTATGGTGGGAGGAATAATATATGCGGCACGACAGAAGGAGACAAAAGGTTGGTGATTTTGACTAATGGGTGGCGATGCAAAGGTCTTGGTGTTGTGCTTGGATATCGACCGCTGTAGATAATTGTTGGGGGGAGGAGCTGTCACTTTACAGTGGCGATGGATGGCTGTCAGCAACCCGACAGACTCCGTTCAAAATGTTAAAGGTGTGGTGGCTATTCAGACAGGGGGGTTTCTGGTTGGTTCATCAGATCATTCAGGGTCTCTTTAGTAACTGTTTCTGTAAGAAGTGATGGCGGTTGCGTGATATTGAATTGAATGAGGGACGTCGTGTTTCTTTAACATGTGAATATGTAGTCAGTGCATGCCACTAAAGCAAGCCATTGAGTGGCCTAACGTCGCCGCACCCAACAAGCCCCCAAAACTGTTAAGATGAGCCTGTGCGCCCCCACCAGCCACTAGCTAGTACTACGAGGCGCTGTAAATCATTTCATTGTTGGGTCCCCAGAGCTTGTCCCTTCTAAACTGAATGTGCTCTAGTGCTGAAACCAACGAGTCTTTAATTCCTCGACTCACCCTAGAGTTACGGTCTTTTGTCTCGAAATGAACAATTATGAATAATAACATAATGCTAGACTCGGTGGTATTTAAAAGCTCGAGGCATATAATCTGGTAATTAAATGACAAGAAGGGTAAAATACCTCCAAATTCCCCACCACCCTTCCGTCTGTCAGTCATACTTAGTCTCGGGGACTGTTTGATGATGGATGACTGACTCTAGAATGAAGCTGATAACGAACCACAATCGGGAAAGGCTGTTGGACCAACATGGAGGTGAAAAACTCTAACTGACCATACAAAACGCTCAGTCCAAAATAGCTAAGCTAAACTACCACACTCGAGCCTCTAGGCTGACGGACCTGACAGGAGTCCGGTCCAGTCCAGTCGAATTGAGTGGACAGTCCCCGATTGAGTGTGAGTGGGTGATCTGGTCTGTGCTTCCATCGTTATCTCTGTCTATCGCACTAAACTCTTTATCACACAAGTCTTATCCGTTTCTCTCACTGTTACTAATCTCTCGCTTCTCGTCTCCGTCGCTGTGGTTTCGCCTCGTAATTAATTAACCCAACGGGCAAAGACAAACAAGCTCAAGACTAAACCAATAGTACGTGGGGGGGCCTGTCAGAATGATTGCCGCTTGAAGCGAAAATTATTACTCCATCGTACCATAGACACAAAACCGTTATTGACCAATTCCCTTCAATCGTGACATGAACCTCTGACAAGACTAACATCTTGACTAAGCTGCCCCAGAACCATCATCTCATCTAGGAATGGTGCAATCTGCATGCAAAAGACAAACCGCCATCGTCTGCGAGCTATTGGCGCTTGCTTCAGAGGGGGGAATGGTGACAGAAAAGCGGTCTCGTTGACTCTGCTTACGAGTGTATTGTAGTCAAACTGAACCATGACTCTCAACTCTGCCGGCGGTCAAGAACATCTTCATTTTCTTCTCACGCGCACAATTATTGTGTTCACAAGTTCATCTCCTCAAGTGCCAGTCCGTTCAATTGGAGGAGGAGGCTGTCTCTACCCCAACTCGACACCCCACACACAGAACAGACGCGAACAGGCGGTCGGTTTTTTTTTTGTGTCAGATCAAAGACAAGACAATACAAGCCACGAACGTTGAGAAACTTGAGGGGGGAGAAGGAACATTTGCTTTTTTTCGCATTGTGTCTCGACCACGATTCCCCATACCTTGGATTCTCGACTCTCAAGGGAACCACCGACAATACTACAGGCATCATGAGACTGGGGAGGCTAGTTCAACTCCCATTGGAAGAGATGCGGGTAACTGACTGATGAATGTATCACGGCATGACATGACATGGCATTCTTGACAAGGGGATGAGTATGTAGCCAAGAGCAAGGACACCTGTCTCTCTGTCTATTGCGGTACGGTAGATCTTTTGCGTTGCATTCATCACAATTAAAGAAAAAAGTCTGGGGTTGATGGAAAACGTGGTTGGTATTTATTGTGCTGTGCCGTAGTTGGTGATGGGTTCAGATGCTTCCAGACTGTTGTTGTTCGCGTGGTGAGACAATGAAAGAATGCAGGCATGGTTTCTGTGACGACATACGTCATTGACGACAAAACAACCGTGTCACGACATGTTTTGTACATTTTGGGGCCTTTACTCTTTAGCTCGTCTTAAGCGAAGGCATTCATTCGTTCCATGTATGCATACAATCCCAATCCTCAATCGCGTGTCCAATCGCTTGGTCGGGTGTTAATTCCCACAACGACTCCATAATCTGCCGGAGCATTGGCCTCGTTTTTTATTGATCTGTGCTTTTGGGAATTTTTGTTCGTGTTTTAAACAAGGGGCTCTGCCTTGGATTTTGGAGGCTTAAAGCAAGTCAGACAAGACTCAAGACTGCGCTGTAGCGGAAAAAAAGGGATGGTGAGGGGAAACGCCATGGGCTGGGAATGGCGTCCGTTATTACCGTACTGTGTAATAACGAGTCGGTGAGAGCTGTATTGAGTTTTGTGCCGTGGTAGTTATTCCTTCTCATCGAGATTCATCTCTCATGGAATGTTACTTTGTTCTATCTGCCGAAGTTGGTGATTTTCTGCCCATCTGTCTGCCTTGTTTCCTTTCGGCGCGCGCGTATGTCCCGGAAGATACGGAGCGGACAAAGCGGGAGTTCAGTTCAAGGACAGGGCCGCCGCGATAGTTACCACAGACTAGATCCGTTCGCTCGCGGAAAAAGAGACGCAGAGACAGCTGAAGCGTACCTAACTTTAGTAGCTACTAGTTTTATCGAGGCTAAACCGTTAATCGTCTGGGGTGGGCTTGTTCAATGGAACTCTAGAGTGTGTCACTGAGAGAAAAAAAAACTCCACCTTTTTTGGCGATGAGTCTCAGAGCGAGAGAAAGAGAAGAACCCACAAGCATGGATGTCGCTGTCTCTGTCTCTCTCGCTTACCATTCAACAAAGACCGTGCTCTACATGAAAATTACGGAGTCCGATTACAGTAGTCTCAAAGCTTCAAGACTTTTTTTATCGTCAAGCGATTTCGTCATCATTATGATGCTGATGATGAGGAAAAACGTATGCAAGCTGAGATCAGCCTCGTATGCTTTTGCCTGCGCCCAGCATCTCATTTGTTGTTTGTCTCTGAGACAGAATGGTATACCCAATAAGAAAATGCCTGTCTTTGACCGACTGCGACTGAATGCACTCCTCTTCTTCTTACCACCCA